TTAAATAAATAAAACACATTTTCAATCCTTTTTAAATAACAGCAAATATCTGCAAAATAATGACGATTTTACTGATTTAAAGAGTAAAAAATGAGCTTTTTAGGGTTAACATGTAAATTCCTACTTTCACTTGATATTATGTGTAATTTAACAAAACAGGGAAACTCTGTGACGTACCTCTTATATATTTTTTTTTCATTGTGCATGTATTTAGACATTACAAAACACATTAGAACGTTTCTGTGTGAATGCAGAGCCGAAGATTTCTGTGCTGCTGCTGTGATGGATGGAGGAAGGAGGGTTTTCCTTGTGTCTCTGTGTTTATGGACAGTGTGAATAAGAACACATAAGTAGGATGGATGGACGGCTGATGTGCACCTGCGTGAACACTCACCTGGAGAGGCAGATTGGACGCTCTGCATCAGCAGCGCAGCAGGTGGAGCTCCACAGGCTGCGGCGGGCCGCCTTCCCCCAGCTGGGAGCGCTGCTGCAGGGGGAGGTGGCAGCAGGGATCTGGGCAGCGCAGCTTGAGTCCTGGATGTCTGCTGCATCCTTCAAACAGACGGACTGCTGTTGGCTCTTTGTAGGAACATTGTGTACCTTCCTGTGCATATATAGGGGACACACCTCCACACAGCGCCGCTGTCAGCATCTCCTCTGACATCTGAGTGTAAATAAATAAAACGTCTCCTTTTCATGCAGTTTGTCACGTCAGCGTTATTTATAAAACATCAGCCGCTGCTGCGCTACAGTGAATAATCAGAATGTGATGAGCATCATAAACCTACACAGGAGTCAGAACCCTGTGCTGTTATAGATGATGTGAGTGGTTTACATATCAAGGATTCAGACCCTACAACACTTATAAATACTGAAAATTAAACCTCATTTAAAGAGAAGGCCAAAACCCGACAGTATGAATAATTCATCAGACAAATACTGAATTTCTTTGTTTTTCCTTTATTGTGGTTATTTTACAGATTTTTACATGTTAATTTTTTTTAATGTTACAGATAAAATCACAGATGAAAGCTGTTCATTTACATGTTAACTGTAAAGAAGCAATCAAACGTGTATATTATGTGTTCTTACAAATAATAAGCTGTTCTTTTGCAATGTGTGATAATTAAGTCATTTTTACTGTAGTAAAATCAGCAGAACATGTAATTATTTCACTGGAATTTGTTGCTATTTAAAATAAAAAATACATATAAAGAACTGAAAATGGTTATAATGTAGATTAAATATATATATTCCTGTTTTTTGTTAAATTACAGATAATATCCAGTAAAGACTAAATTACAGCTTGACTGTAGAAACACTTATTTTACAGATATGTTTCCTCGTTTATTACTTGGTTTATGTCTCTTTTCACAGTACTTTTTGTTTACATGGTACTTTTACTTTTACTTAACATATTTCTTATTTAGAATTTCTCAGATCTAGATTTCTGTATTTATTCCTGTCTTGTTATTGTTGTGTAGCATCTCATTCACCAGGTTCCTTTTGTGTGTGATCTCACTTGGCAATAAAAAGCTTCTGGTTCTTATATTCGCCTTTACTTTGGCAGTTTTTGATGGAATTTTATTTATTTATTGTTCTAACGTTAACAACACAGAAGTTGACAATTAGACAACTACTTACATTTTTTTTCATGCAATTATGCAACAATTATTTTTAAAAACTTTTGATTTTAGCATGATGCCGACACACCTGCTCCATCAGCATATATCACGTGGTGGTTACAGCTTTTCCCCAGAGCCACTGTGAACGCCCACAGACACTGATTCGGTCCGTTCCACCACCGGTCCTGTCAATCCACTGACTAGTGTTCTCTCAGTTTGCAATAAGTCACCTGTCCTCAGGTGTAGTCTAACACGAGTGTTTCTCAGGTGCCTCCGTTCCTCACTGCTGTTGTAAAGACTCACATCCATTCTATAGCTGCTTTCACTTATTTTATTTTTTTTATATACATCTATGTGCTCCACAAACGTCTGGTTTTTATCTCACAGTTTGTTTGTTGATTTATTTACGGTTGTTCTTTGCCCTGAATGGGATTGGACCCAATGTCGTACTTTTTCTGGTGTAATGACATTAAAGGGTTCTGATCTGACCACAGATGTGTTTAGGATCTTTTCACTCGTTTTCTTTGCGTGAACTCACGTGTTCATCCGTGTTGTGTTTGTGTGTTTGTGTGTTCTGTGTGCAGGCGGTGCCGAAGCCCATCGCCATGGAGCCGTGTTGGGGCAGCGGGGCAGGTGTTCTGACGGTGCTGCTGTACCTGCCGAGGGTCCCGTCTGGGATCCCTCCACCTGGACAGTCCGGTACGGTCCACACACACAGATACACAAACACAGGAAGAGCCAACAGGATGCTCTCTGTGTGAATGTTGTCATCAGCAGAGTTCTGAACGTATTCAGCGCCACGTTTCTCTCCAGTCTAATCTAACTCAGCGTTGGTTGGTTTCTCTTGTTCTGAGGACGATGAAGTCTGAAGAGGTTTTAATCTTTATAGGGAATAAAATGCTGCTTCAGTCCTTTTCTTGTGCTGGTGGTTTTTTAGAGGTGGGCCGTGCATAATGACCAGCTGCAGACAGTATTTAACTGTGACACTCCAGGCGCAGCTAATGTGACTTTTTATGATTGAGTGTAACAAATATCAACTGTCAGTCTGTTTATTTCCCTCCTTTCACTCCGTCGTCGCCGTCGTTGTAAACTGTCAGCTGTCTCCGAGCCGTAAAATCCCACGTCTCCATTATTGCAGGTTCACAGAGACGCTTTCACACCATATGTGATCCTTTTACAAGCTGATCTGTTTTCAGCAGCTCCTCTAGAAGACAGTCCAGATGATGCTGCTCGTGGCAGCTCCCCGTCAGCTTCCATGTACGCCAGGTTCTGGCATGTTAAAGAAAACACTCTAAAACATGACGCCATCCAAGGCGTCATCAGGCCTTATGGCTTTTTTTCCAGAATAATTTTAATTTGTATATGTTGCATTGCGGGGCTGCAGGGTGGTGCAGTTGGTAGCACTGTTGCCTCGCAGAAGGTCGCCGGTTCACGTCCCGGTGAGGACACCCGGGATCTTCCTGTGTGGAGTCTCCATGTTCTCCCCGTGCAGCGTGGGTTCTCTCCGGGTTCTCCGGCTTCCTCCCACAGTCCAGAAACATGCTGAGGTTAATTGGTGATTGTAAATTGTCCGTAGGTGTGAATGTGAGTGTGCTTGGTTGTCTGTCTCTAAGTGTAGCCCTGTGATAGACTGGTTACCTGTCCAGGTGAACCTGCCTTCACCCTGAGTCAGCTGGAATAGACTCCAGCCCCCCATGACCCTGGTGAGGATTAAGCGGTGTAGAGATGATGGATGGATGTTGCATTGCATCCAGTATCTGAACTGAGTCCTGTACAGCAGCTCTCAGGGCAAAGGTAGAGACGCACATCTGGACAGGTAGAATGGATCAGGACGGGATGAAGACTGTGAAGACAACTAGTTAGAGAGTTGAGAGTGTTGGACTGGAATGAATGAGGTTCTGGACAAACTACTGAAGCTGTTTTAAGACAAAGCCGCCTCGTGTTCATGTGGTTGTGCAACCGGCTGCTTCTTGCTGTGTGAAGGTTGCTCTCTTATCCGTCCAAAGGTCCTGCTGTCGTAGCTATAATGAAGTCCAAAGACCTGCAGCTCCCGTTGGACTGCAGGTCCGACAGCAGGCACCGAGGGAGCAGCAGCGTTCTGCTTTATTTCTCTGCACTCACATAATATTCAGTCCAGCACAGATAAGTTAGGATGTCATAAAGTTTACAGAGTCAGTCAGCCGGTTAAGCACAAATCTGTTGTTGGATTTACCGCCGCCTATGTTTGCTCAGTTCTTCGTTCTCGGGGGTCTCGTTCTCTGCACGCACACAGGATGCAGTTGGGCTGTTAGAGATTCTAATCCGTCCTAAAACACGCCTGCTGGGCTAAACTCTGCTTTTTAATGTTCAGGCTCATGTGACTGCGTTTAAACGAAGAGATATTTTTCACAATCTACCACTTAAAACTGGTTTTGTTGGAAGTTCTGCTTCACTCTTAAACCACAACCGATAAACCCAAGAAGCAGGAAATGGAGGCTTTTTATGAATCGCCATGTGGTTGCAGTTTAACTGTTTTGAATCGTGATAGCAGAGCGTCCTTAGCTTCGGCGTTGGCGTGCTCCTCGCTGCAGGATGATGCATTATTCAGAAAACCTCTTGACATGCGGCACCTCAGAGTCGCTCTGATGTGGTCGGACCTGCCTGGTTTTCCTCCAACACTTACTGTTGGATCAATTGTTCCCTTCAATGAGACATCCTGACTTTTCCACCGCCTCAGCTCATGTTGCGCTGCAGACGGGCGACACACGATATCCCCCGGTCGCTGCAGCCGACCGCCGAGCTGAGAAGATGGCAGCGCTCGCTCGCAGACCTGAGCGAGGCCTGCAGCTTTGTGCACCGTCAGCACCGAGCCAGTCATCCCCTCCTCCGGCTCGTCTTCCACCTCGGTCGACCTCTCACGCTCGCTCGGCCTCCCGTCGTATTTTCCTTCTCGCCCTCCTGCAGCTGCTGTCGGTGGGTCTGCTGTGAGCTTTGGTCTCGGCGAGGTGGACTGTGTGTAACTTTAGCAGGTGTGAGAAGCTTCGGTTCCCTCCAGGCAGGAAGCCTTCAGCGCGACGACGCACCTGACGGAGGAAACGAGCGCGGCAGACGGAAAATGAAGCACTTTGTAAGAAAGCATTTTTCTCAAGGTAGCAGGAGCCTTTAAGACGTGGCAGCGTGGTCTAATAGAGGGGGAGGAGGAGGGCGTGTGAGAACAAGGGCATAAAAGACAGAAGCTCTGCTACATCTAGAGGTAATTATGATCATTAAAAAAAAGCTGTAGAGAAGCTAATAGTAATAGAAGTGCATTAGGAACAAGTGGAGGAGCAGTAAATGGTTTAAACCGTCCAGGGCAGCAGAGCAGGTTTGGCAAATCTGCTGCTAAATTATAAAAACTCTTTAGTCGTTCGTCTAGACGTCCAGTTTTCTGTCGTTTATGTGGGTCGCAGCAGCAGCAGCAGCAGATGAAGCAGTGATTTCCAGTTCCTAGCAGGTGACTTACTGGATGTAGGAAGCAGGTTTAAGGCTGCTATTGGCTGCTCATGTACATCCATGTGTTTTCAACGTTTACTGCAGCCTGGGAAACAACAGCAAGAACCTCCAGGCAGCAACTTACAGCGCTGGAGGATGTGGATCGAGAGGATGTGGATCTAGAGGATGTGGATCTAGAGGATGTGGATCTAGAGGATTTGGATCGAGAGGATGTGGATCTAGAGGATGTGGATCTAGAGGATTTGGATCTGGAGGATTTGGATCTGGAGGATTTGGATCGTGCAGTGAGGCAGCTACAGCTAGTTTTGTAGGCAAAATCTACCAAAACGATTCAACCGTCACCATTTTGAAGGAAGTCCAAGGTTGCATCCTTCCCTCAACCCCACTCAGGTCGATGGCGACCGGTTTAAAGAAAATCAAACAAGCCGGGCCGTTTTTTATTCCCCCCAAAAGCAGAAGGATGCGACAGAGTGGGCTGGATAAACGAGACCAAGTTATTTCACATGATAACATCCATTTTGTACAGAAATGGTCGTCTGGTCGCCACAACATTCCTGCAAACACTGATCCTGCCAGTTTTTCTTTCAGTGATTTTACTTAAAGAAAAAAGGGAACCTATAGAATTTGTAAATCGTACAAAAAACTACGATTAGAGATGATGAAATAATAAAACTGTCCGCTTGTCGCACTCGGACCTGTTTGTTCTCATCACTCTGAGCTCATAGCTCCTCCACCGTGGTGCTCAGTTATTATTAAATGCTCCAGTTTTACCCCAGAAACCCGTCACTGCTTCGGTCGACAGATTCTTCTGGTTCCTCCTGGATGACGCTTTGAGATGGTGAAACTCTGGCTCGTTTGTTGCTTCTTCCTTTGTCCAAAACCCTCCCCTCAGCTCCACTCATGCTCCCTGCTGCCCTGCCTGAAGGCTTTACAGTGTTGACCAACGTGTCGATTAAACCAGGACATTCAAATCGATCCGCGACGCCGTCCGTGTAGTGAAATCACTGTTATTTCGCCGGTGGTTTTTGTGCTCACCGCCTCACACTACCTGGTGTTTTAGCCATTAGCTCCACACAGCAGACTCATTTTGAGGAAATCAGGGGAGATTAGAGGCTCGGCGGCTCTCTGGAGGCCTCTCCCGTGGCTTCTCCCCATCGAACCGCTGGAATCACAGCCATTGTTGCCGCGTTTGAAGCCTGCAGTCGACGCCTGCGTGTGTTTGAGTAGCGATCAGAGTCGTGATGTTACGCCCGTAAACACACATGATACGACTTCAAAAAGGGGCCACATGAAAGCAAAAAAAAAAAAAAAAACAAGCCTAAAACTCGCCCACCCATCACATGCTCTCGCTGCTCTCAGTCCTCCCACCGAGCTCCCCGGAGAGCCCCTCCGTGGGGTCAGACAGCAGTCCTCCATTGATGTTGGCATGTTCCAGCGTGGAGCCACTGCAGGCTGGCTCCGCCCACCCTCGCTGGGAGACACTTCAAGAGGAATCCTCGATGAGCCAGCCTGTTTTAGCCCTCGCGCCATCTTCTCCCTCCACGCTTTGTTTTCTTCTGCTTCGCTCGGCTCCCCCGAGGTGTTACCATTAACTGACCCTTTACATGTAAGAGGCAGCGAGAGGGAACGTTCCAGAAGAGTCCAAAAAAAAAAAACAAGAAGAAGAAGAAGAAGAAGAAGAAGAAGAAGAAGAAGAAGAAGAAGAAGAAGAAGAAGAAGGCCTCGCATCTTCTCAGCTGCCAACATATCAACACATGCTTCTCTTTCTTCTCTTCCTCCAGCAGCAGTGTGACGTTGAGGAATTACAGCGTGGAGATGAGCTCCTGGTGTCACCAACATGTTCCATCACATGTTCCATCACATTTGGTTTCTGTAGCCCGTGACTCAGACGTGTCGCTTCTTGCTGATGTGCAGCTTTTTTTTAAAATCTTAGTTTTCACTGTCGGAGCTCCAGCAGGTAAAACATTTAGTTTAGTTTCATCCTGGATCCAAACATTTCATCGACACTGTAAAAAAAATCCTTTAAAAAAAGGAAACGTGTTTTTATTTTTTTACATTAATTTACGATTTAACTTAAAAAACATAAAGAGTACCAAGTACACAAGAGTAACCAGCTTTAAATGACAGGAATGTAATGAGATGATCACTGAGGCTGAACAGAAAAACAGTCAAGGCATCACAGAAGCTTTTTAAAAATCAATAATTTTACATGATAACATCTCTGTAGT